TCCTCCACTGAGACGTGGAGGTCTTTGTGTCCTTCCCTTGAAATGGGGTGGATCTTTGTAACTGGCTTAACCAACAGAATGTGGTGGAAGTGATGCCACATGACTTCTGAGGCTAGAAGGCAATATTGCTTCCACCTGTTTCTTGGAACGCAGCTGCCATGTTGTAAGGAAGCCCAAGCCATGGAGAAGCCATGTGCGGGAGGTGTTTCAGTTGGTCACCCCAGCTAGGTCTGCAGCCAGCATCAACTGTCAGATATCTGAATGAATGAGCCCTCAGATGAGTATAACCTCCAGCATTTGAATTTTCTAGCTGAGACCCTCAAACATTGTGGAGCAGTGATAAGCCATTCCTATTGTGCCCTGACTGAATGCCTGACCTCCAGAAATCATGGGAAGTAATAAATACTATTATCGTTTTAAGCCACTAAGTTTTGAGGTGATTTATTACACAGCAATAGATGACTAATTTAATAGATGATGATTTAGAGTAAGAGAGGTCCTTGGAAATTGCTGACTGATATCGCAAGGAGGCTGGAGGTTCTGAAATTGCAAGGGGGTAGAGGCTAATAACTTCTGACAGAACTTGGCTTGGGAGAGGGAAGGAGATGCAACAAAGTCAAGAGCTTCCTGGGTGCGGTGAACCTTTGTGGGAAAGGTATGAAGATGATCCAGTCTCTGCCACTGGGTTTTGAACTTAACCCTCAAGGCAAGTGACTCTTCTCCATGGTCATGGCTGGGGATAGCTTGATTCCATACCTATGGATGCTGGAGGCTGGTAGCACATCCCAGCCTCTCAGGACTTCTAGAGGGTTCTAGGCCAAAGTCTACTTATTTGCCAGTGCCTGTTTCTCTTGGATATTGTAGGAGATGAAACTCCCTAAAACTCATGGGCAATCATAAGGGCTAGACTGAAGATATAAGATCTCTGGTCACAAAACAAGGAAGGAGTTTATGCTAGTAGAGGTTCTTTGTTGTGAGCAACAGACAATTATTCTAGATGATTTAAGCAGAAAGTGAAATTATTAGAAAGGTTTGGATAGTTTCCAAAATCCCTGGGAGGCTAGATTAAGGGCCAGGTCACATGTCAGACCAGTTTGGTAAGGACACAATTGCCACAGCACTTGGAACCTGGATGTGGCTACTTCTCCATCAGGATGGAACCTCCCTGTTGCTACTTCTTTGGGTCACTAGTTCCTGATTCCAAGTCTAGGAACAGATGTATCTGATTGGTGGAGCCTTGGTCATGTGCCACCTCCTAGCTGCAAGTAAGCAGGGAAATCCAGGATCTAGAGCTTCATCTTTGTACAATGGGGGATTCCTCCCAGATAGGAAGAGACTTCACGTACTGGACAGATAAAGAATTGCAAATATCCACTACTGGGTTGCTACTGTGGATATATCACTGTGTCAGTGTGTGTTTGTAGAGGAGAGGGAGCAAGACCCTGGGGACATTTCTGGGAAGAATATTACATTTAGAAAATATGGTGTGCTGGTTATTTCCTGCTTATTCTCAGCACCATTCTTGCCTTTACACACGCTGCTCTGCATTACAGGGCCTGGACCCCTGCAAACCACAGATCTCAGACCCGCTTTGTAGGTTCAGCCAAGGGGAAGCACTGGTAGGAAGTTGGATGGTGGGAGGAAGTGAGACGGTGTGCTCTTCGTGTGATCTTTGGGAGTGACTGCATCTCTGCCAAATCCAACCTCAGTCACAATGGCTCAGTACCGGCCTGGGAGAGTCCTCCCTGTTGGTCCTCCTTCATGGCTCCATCACCCTTTCTGGCACCCCCAGTGGCGCAGTCATAAGTGCATTCCTGCACTTAGATAATAACATGTTCTCGTCTTTGTCCCAACATAGAGCTGCTTTCTGCTTTTTCCTAGTCTCCGGCTTACCTCAACTTTTCCTTTTTGTTCTTTTAGCATTTCCAACACTTTGTAAGTACTTTGCTGGATTAAATCCTCTGATTTGAAATATTAATCTGCTTGCTGTTTTCTGACTGGACTCTGACTGCTACACTTGGTAATTTGGTGAGAACTATAGGACTTATATTTATAACACTGTTCTCAATTTCAAAGAGGTTTAATGCTTGGAATACTCCCGTTTCTTCCTTTTTCCACCTGCTAAACTCATATGTAGCATTCAAAACTTTGTCCAGGCATTCATTCTCCAGAAGCCTTCCTGATATTACCCCTGCACTCTGCCCCTCTAAGCCCTAAAGTGCCAAATATAGTATCACACGCTCACAGGGAGGTATATGACAGTAGTGTTTGTTGATGTTCACAGTGACAGTCATGAAGATTAAAAGTGTATGTTTGCAAGAGAATGCTTCAGTAGCTTTTCTTAGGCAACTGTGCTGATCTCTGAGTCTGGAATTCTAATCCAGATTCCATTAGTAGCTAGCTGTGCAACCTTGGAAGTCAGATGACTTTTCTGGGCCGTAGTTTCCTCTCCTGAAAAATGAGTGGGTTCAATCAGGAGGGTGATGTCCAGACTTTAAAAAATTTTTTTGAGTAACATCACATGGAAACCCAGCAGGGAAACCAGAAATAGAAGATCTGGTTGAAGTCATGGGTGGGCATTCTAGAGTTTCATAAACTCCAGTCTTCCCCTAGCCTCAAACCCTTGGCAGTACCTTCATCATTCCACCAGGGATCCATGGAGCACAGTTACAACTCTGCACTAGATCATTTCTTCTATGTATTTCAGTTTTACACATACAGGCACAAAAGGAGGGGATCCAATTAAATATGATGCCAAAAAAATTGCTCAAATGATAGTCTGCACATACCTTACTTCAACCAATAGACTTAGAAACCTGGGTGCAAATCTTCCTTGCTACCTTGTCAGATAAGACATGTATATTTTGGCCAACTGGATAACTACACCATATTCAATGGCAGATAAAATGAAATCCTGTGGAGATATCTGAATAAGGCATAGTCCAAGTCCTCACACCATGAACCTGATAAGATCATTATAATAGCTTTGAATACTGAGGCTTAGTTACCCTGTAACCAACATTTTCTCTTGAAAGTAACCATATCTGTGTTGGTTCACCTTTTCCAATTCTGTATGTAGCCTGACTAATTGGCTCTACTGAGTTGAGGTGGGTGTTCACCATTAACACAGCTTGATACAATAGGAAATCATCTTTGTAGTCAGTCACAGAAGATCCAGTTTTTTGGGTAAAGTTCAAGTGCACCAAATTGTGCTTTCCTTAAGGAGGGAAGAAACATGGGAACATGGGGCAAAACAGAATCGGAGAGTCTCAAGTATGGGACCTGTCTGGAGTTGTTATTAAGAAGAAATTTTGCCCATGAGAATTAACACATGTTCTCTATCCACTCAATTTTTCATCATTATTGTCATCATTATTGCAGCCAGTGTCATTACCTTCAAAGGCGCTATGCATTTACTATGTTCCAGAGTAATGCTCATCATGTCTAATCCCCACAATCATCCTACCCTTATTTTTTACAGAAGAGGAAACTGAGGTTCAGGGATGTTCCATTACTCACTTTTTTGCATTCACTAGTCAACAAGTAACTGAACTGGGAGTCAAATCCATATGGGCTTAATTATGAGATCATGCTCAAAACCACGACATCCTACTGCTTTCCCTCTTCTAGAACCCCACAGTGCAAGGGTGGGCTCCTCATTTCTCTTTGTCCTATTAGCATGATGATATCCGTCTGTCATGCCATTGTCAGTACATCTTTTCACTCATGGACAATCAAAGGCCTGTGAGGTCCCTATGGGGGGCTCCTGGTGACCCATCCTCGGCTTAAAGCAGCTTCAGGTGTCTGCCTTCTTTCCATGTCTGGGACTTCTGGCCACTACTGAGCTGTCACCTGGCTTGGGAGACCCACTGAATCAAGACTGAAACCAATTAGCATGGGAAACCTGCCAACTCATCCTCCAAGTTCCCAGCAGACAGCCTAATTTCCCTGGTGGTGAGAAGTTCCCACTGGCAATGATGTAACCCCTGTCATGGCAGGGGTTTCCAGGATAATCATGTCTCTCTTCAATGGCTGCAAAAAGTCAATTAATGAGCTGAAAAGGCAGAAATGAAAAAGGAGGTGGAAGGGCATAGAGAACCAGGCAATATGGCTAATGATTAAAGAGAAAGGCTAGTCATTCAAGCCAGAGTATGGGTCTTGTGAGAAGCGATGCCTTGGTTAAAGGAGAGACCACACTGGCTCCTGATCTCTGAAATCATCACCATCCTTAGGGGCGTTGAAAGAGCACTGGACCTTGGTTTCAACCCTTGGATGATACTGACTTACGGTGTTTTTGGAACAAACCTTTTCCTTTTCTGTTACAGTGCATGGAGGCTAAAATTGTAGGTCCTGGACTCAAAGTGCTTAAATATTGAATCTAGTCTCCACCACTTACCAGCTGATTCTGACAAATTATTTATTATCCATAAGACTTAATTTCCTCAACTGTAGAATCAGATAACAATGATATTCATCTCACAGGGTTGTCACAAGGCAAATAAGGGGAAATTATTTCCCTTTAGCTTATAGGGTACCAAACACAGTGGCTGGCACATGGTAAGCATTCTCTAACTTGGGATGTTTTTGGCTGCAAGTAATTGAAACTCCATCTCAGAGTGGCTTAGAAAAGGAAGTGTAATGGCTCATGTGACTGAAAGTTTAGGGAGAGGATGTCTTCAGGATTAAATTAGTTCCTCAGTGACTTCCTCAAGAACCTGGCTCTTTCCATATTTCTATTTGTGATCCTGAGTGTTAGCTCCACTCCTAGGCTGGTATCAGGATGGGTGCCTTACTTCCAGGCACCACATCTACATATGTCAATGTCCTGGGGAAGAAAAAGGATGTCTCTCCTATGACTCTCTATTTGAAGCAAAGTAACTTTATTATTATTTTTTTAAATCCTACCAGCAAACTTCTGCGCATATCTTATTGTCCAGAATTGGGTCACATGCCTGTTCTGACCAATTACTTGTAAGACACATTTAACCAATGGAACTTACCCTGGCTCTGAGGGGTACAGTCAGCTTCACCTGAGGCTACACGGAGGGAGCTTGGATGTCCAAAGAAAACTGAAGTTCTGTTGGGAAAGAAGGGAGATATGGATGCTGGCTAGGCATCTGAATAAAATCTCTACAATCCACAAGTCTTACTATTATTATTCTTACTATTACTCTTTTTATCATCAGTTTTTGCTTTGGACTCTTGCTCTCCCAGTCTCTCTTCCTGTTCTGAGAGTCATGAGTCTGATCTTAGCATTCTCAGTGTCTGCTGGGCTAAGTTTGGTCCCTGCCTCTTCTAATGAGAGGTCAACTGAAATGTACCATTTCTATTTCCAACTTTTATTCCCTTCTCAGAAATACCTCAAGCCAAACACTCCAGGTGTGCAGAGTTACTCAAAACAAGCCAAAGGATTGATTTCAAGATCCCAGCAACTGTCACAACAGTGAGTTGTGTAACTGAGCTGATGATACAGTTGACTAACTGCCAAAGGGTCTGCCTTTTTCTACTTCAGGAACATACCTGGGAATCCCTCCTCTACCCAAGATGGCAAGCCCACCTCAAATAGTGTTTTGGATTGAAGGGTGGTACATCTGAACATTTCTAGCTCCTCTGTGTGTTGCGGTCACATATTGTATGGCTAACACTTTTTTTTTTTTTTTTGGAAGGATCAGTGCAAATGGTTGATAACAACCATTCCCATTTTGAAGGAACAACTCAAAACATAATAGCATGCCATTTGGGGGTTGGGAAAATATTCTTCAGTTACATGGGACAACCAATTCTTTTTTAGTTTCCTCACCATGAAACATAGCTTAGTCACATGCATAATTGAATTGATTTTTTCATTTGAATTTATCCTTGGCTTTTGGCCACAATGAAGGTTGCTTGCTGAGCAGATGGCACAGACCATGTTTTCTGTCTGTTGCAAATGGTCTGTTCAATCAACCATCAGCAACCCCTCAGCCGCTGGTCAGTTGGCCTGAGTCAACCAGAGAGTGATGTGTTTGGTTCCGAGGGTAGACTGGGTCTGTCACCTCATAGCTTAGATAACATTTTTCCTCCAAGGGTCAAGTCAGACTCTGCTGTCTGACGTCATAAACTCCCAGGCAAATGGCAGCAATTCAGCATTATGGTAGTATTCTCAATGATCAGCCAGGAAGTCTCCAGAATCCAGCAGAATGAATTATGATTCCTTGAGTAAGATGTTTATCACCCTCTTCTCAGAAATAAATTCCCTTTGTTTTCATCAGAGAATCATGAACACTTAGAGCTAGAAGTGACTTTGGAGGTTATGTGTTTAAATGTTTTTGCAGCAAAGTCCATGGGGTGGACCTAATTTGTGTTTGCTGCCGGGACTCTGATGTAGGGATTCAGTCTGTATGAAGTCCCCATAGATCTTCTAGGAGAGCCAGTGAGGAAATATGTTGGAGTTGACTGTTTGCTCTAGGCTGAAATTCATAAACCAAGATGGGGAACAAAGGTTGCCCCTTAACTCTTGAACCAACTCTAAGTTTGAGTCCAGTTCTTAGATGGTCTGTCAAAGAAGGGGAATAATTCGGCATGCTACACTTTTTTGCATCTTGCCCTCTATCCTGGTCCCAAAGAAACCATTCCCAGATTCCCAAAAGAGAGGGCACAGTAAGAAACTGTATTTGTGAGTCAAAGGAATCATTAACACCAGGCTGCAAGATACTCAGAGAGCATGGAAACTCTACTTAGGGGTATGACAAGAGTTTGGTGTTATGATTCTTGGAGTGGTAGAAGCATGACAAAAGCCAGGTCAGACTGGGAGAGGGGAGAAGGAGCAAGGGCCACTTGTGGGCTAGGTAGCCTGTGACTGCTTGAGCCATGCCACCCAAGACTTGGCTCAAGGGAAGCAGTAAATATGGTGACCTGGAGAGCCTGGAACCAGCAGTTGTACAAAGGAACCTCAGTGGACACTAAGGAGGTGGTCATGTGAACTGAGTTCACCCACCTGTTTCCCTCCCCCATGACCTTGCAATCTCAGGAAAATTGGTTGACCTTCATTCATTCCAGCCATGATGCCTTGACACTGTCAGTTTGGAGGATTCCTCAGTATTCTCTCTCGATCTCTCTTTCAGGTTAGTTAGAGTAGGGCTCTGTTGATTGCAATTAAATTACCCTAACTGTTACAGGGTCCCTTTATGAATTAGCTAATTGCAAAATAGACAGACACTTAAGGAGTGAGTTTGGCCCTTCAGGGGGCTTGAGCCCTAAAGCTACCACTTCATCACTGTCCTGCCACTTGAACACTGCCAAGCACAGCTGTATACCTGGGCTATTGGGCAATGGAAACGTGTCAGTAGTGAATGCCTCACACTTCGCTGCAGGAGGAAAACACAGATGGTTAGCTATCATGATACTTCTCCATGTCAAAAATCATTGCTTTCTTTCTTGTCTCAGTATGACCTGAGAGAGAGAGGGCTCTGGGAATCAGCACAGCTGGAGCCAGCTCAGCTCAGCTCAGCTAGCTGTGGGACCCTGAGCAAGTCATTCCCCTCTCTGCAGTTTACTCACCTATAAAAGACTGAGATAACACACAGCAACCCAGCATAGACTATTAAGAAGAGCAGAATTTCTCTGGTTGCTGGAAAAATGCTGGTGGGCCAGGTGGTGGTGGTGGGTGGAAATCTGCCTGCCAGTTGTTCCTGTCTTACCTCCTTCTTTGGTTCTTGAGGAACCCTAGAGGTCCAAGAGACACAGTTGATGATCACAGGGCTAGATGATCGCTAAGGGACTTTCCAGTCTATGAGTCAGTCAATTTTAATTTCTTTTACAAAACAGCCATATGTCCCTTTTCTCTAGCCCTTACCTAACCATAACCCTCACTACTCCATGTACACATACTTTCTCTATGAATACAGGGAAGAAGAAAATGGGCTGTTTATGTGGTTAGCACTTGCTGATTGGATCTTCTGTATTACCAGAGATGGCCAAGATCATTGACAGGATCTAAGGCGCCACTAATAACTCCAGTAGAACGTGCTCCTGCAGATGGGAAGCTTGAGCCCTCTCCAGAGCACCTATGGCCACTGGTCAGGCTTTTCAGGGCCTCATGGCACTGAAGTAGAATTACAGAAGCATAAGAAGTTCTGAAAGGCCCTAGTCCCTAGAGCTCATGTTTGGACATCCTAAGGATAAAGTGCTTCTCTGAGAGCATCATGAGCCATTCAGACAAATTTATAATACTGATACTTAAAGGTATACAAGAGATGCCAGCATTTCTATTCACCCATACTCCTTTACCAAAGAATCTTCCCTTCCTGCTAAACAAACCCTTTGAACCCTTGCTAAAGAGGTGCTGAAGGATGCATGTTTGTACTAGATGATCCCTCCTTCCTGCCTACTAACAATTGATGATTGGTCTAGGAGTAGCCACCTGACTCAAGTGTGACCAATTGGTTCCTTTCTACCGGGACACAGAGCCCCTGTTACTTAATGCTGATGGACATGGAGCTGTATGGGACTATGGCTATGGGACAGCCACACGCTGGGCCATGAGCAATAGTGGAAACCAGCATGTCAAGAAGTGTACATAGTAGACACATGAAGTGAAGGTAGAGATCAGAGAACACAAGGAAGTGGGGGTAGTGGTGGTGGTGGGGCTTTCTGATATTGTTCTCATTCTACAAGTCCCTTTAATTCTTCCACATTTAGCTTACTTTAGAATCCCTTGGATGCTTCCTTTAAACCTGAATTTTCACTTGAACTAGCTACAATAGGCTCTTTTCCTGGCAACCAGGAAATCCTTAATTAAGACAAAAGACTTAATGAAACAAGTCATGGCACCATCTACCGTGAAAGGGCTTGTTTACCTCTCTCTCTTTTTTAAGAATGAATTTATTGGATTCTTCAATACCTGCAAAGCAATCGATGTGATACACCATATCAATAAATTGAAGAATAAAAGCCATATGATCATCTCAATAGATGCAGAAAAAGCTTCTGACAAAATTCAACACCCATTTATGATAAAAACTCTCCAGAAAGTGGGCATAGAGAGAACCTACCTCAACATAATGAAGGCCATATATGACAAACCCACAGCAAACATCATTCTCAATGGTGAAAAACTGAAAGCATTTCCTCTAAGATCAGGAACAAGACAAGGATGTCCACTCTCACCACTATTATTCAACATAGTTTTGGAAGTCCTAGCCATGACAGTCAGAGAAGAAAAAGAAATAAAAGGAATCCAAATTGAAAAAGAAGAAGTAAAACTGTCACTGTCTGCAGATGACATACTATAAATAGAGAATCCTAAAGATGCCACCAGAAAACTACTAGAGTTAATCAATGAATTTGGTAAAGTTGCAGGATACAAAATTAACGCACAGAAATCTGTTGCATTCCTATACACCAATGATGAAAAATCTGACAGAGAAATTAAGGAAACACTCCCATTTACCATTGCAACAAAAAGAATAAAATACCTAGGAATAAACCTACCTAGGGAGAGAAAAGACCTGTATGCAGAAAACTATAAGACACTGATAAAGAAATTAAAGATGACACAAATAGGGCTTCCCTGGTGGCGCAGTGGTTGACAGTCCGCCTGCCGATGCAGGCGACACAGGTTCATGCTCCAGTCTGGGAAGATCCCACATGCCGCGGAGCGGCTGGGCCTGTGAGCCATGGCCGCTGAAACTGCATGTCCGGAGCCTGTGCTCCGCAATGGGAGAGGTCACAGCAGTGAGAGGCCCGCATACCACAAAAAAAAAAAAAAAAAAGATGACACAAACAGATGGAGAGACATACCATGTTCTCAGATTGGAAGAATCAATATTGTGAAAGTGACTATACTACCCAAAGAAATCTACAGATTCAATGCAATCCCTATCAAAATACCAACAGCAGTTTTTATAGAACTAGAACAAAAAATCTTAAAATTTGTATGGGGACACAAAAGACCCCAAATAGCCAAAGCGGTCTTGAGGGAAAAAAACGGAGCTGGAGGAATCAGACTCTCTGACTTCAGAGCACACTACAAAGCTACAGTAATCAAGACAACATGGTACTGGCACAAAAACAGAAATATGGATCAATGGAACAGGA